TGTGTGTGTGTGTGTGTGTGTGTGTGTGTGTGTGTGTGTGTGTGTGTGTGTGTGTGTGTGTGTGTGTGTGTGTGTGTGTGTGTGTGTGTGTGTGTGTGTGTGATCAGGCCGCTGCCTGGGACGGTCGTCAACTTTTGGCGCATGCTGTGGGAGACGAGGACAGCGGCCATCATCATGGTCACAGGCATCCTTGAGAAGGGGCGCAAGAAGTGTGAGCGGTACGTCGCGTTGACATGAACACCAGCATCCGTTTTGATCTTGGTACACTTTGTTGCCCACAATGACGACCGCAGCGAAACCAAGAACAATCACGCGTCCCACGTGTTCCATGATACCTGTCAATCAAAACCTCACAGCCGCCTCTTTCCCATGTGCAACTGTGGCATGTGTGTGTATGTGTGTATGTGTATGTGTGTATGTGTCGTGTGCGTGTTGTGCGTGTCGTGCGTGTGTGTGTGTACCCTTGTAGGTACTGGCCTGCTGACGTGGACAACAAGACAGAGATGAAGTTTGGCGACATCACCGTTGTCGCGCAGCAGGAGGCCGTCGCCCGAGGTGATGATGATGACAGTGGTGGTGGTGATGGTGGTGATGATGATGATGACAGTGGTGGTGGTGATGGTGGTGAGTTGGGGATCCCTGAGGTGCTGAATGACTCAAGCCGCTTATTCGTGTCTCATGCGTGATGTAGGTTACGTGTACACGCTGCTGCGCGTGCAGCGTGGATCTGAGGTGCGCAAGATTGGACACTTCTTCTACAACAGCTGGCCCGATCACGGTACGAACGCAGCAGCACATGCGCTTGTACTCCTTGCGAACAGACTGGCAACTGTCATACACACAACACACGCCACACACACACACACACACACACACACACTTTTTCTCTCTCTCTCTCTGTTCCTTTCTTTCTTCTTTCTTTTCAAGCACTTCTTCACCATCCCCCCTCCGTTCTTCCCTGACTCTCTGCGTCACCCCAGGTGTCCCGCGTGATGCCTCTGGGGATCTGTATCCAGACAGCGTGCTCGGCATGCTGCACACCGTGCACAAGTGGTGTTCGAAGGTCAAGGATCGTCCCATTGTTGTCCACTGCAGCGCTGGCGTTGGCCGCACAGGGACCATCATCGCCATCGATCACTGCCGATACGTGCGTTTCACTGTAGTTTATGTGTGTGCGTGTGTGCGTGTGTGCGTGTGTGCGTGTGCGTGTGCATGTGCGTGCGTGTGCGTGTGCATGTGCGTGCGTGTGCATGTGCGTGCGTGTGCGTGTGCATGGTGTGCATGTACGTGGTAAAGCAGTGTGCCACGTTGGTCCCCTCTCACCCCATCACCGGTCACACGTGGTGTGCGCTGGTTCGTCTTTGCAGCGTTTGAAGCACCAGGGGCGCGTTGATCCCCTGCAGATTGTGGACTTCATTCGGCAGGACAGATGCGCCCTTGTGCAGCATCCAATTCAGGTGCGTGGTGTCGTTGCTGGTCATTCAACGGGTTGGCGTTGATCATGGGTTGTCTTGTGTTGGTGTGTTGGTGTGTTGGTGTGTTGGTGTGTTGGGTTCATGCTTGAATCGTTTGCTAGTTTTCGCCGTCCTCGTGACCTGAACGACCTCCTCCTCACCACTCTCTCACTGGCTATCCGCCTATGTGTATGTGTGCACGTGTGCAGTTCAAGTTTGTCCACGCCGCTTGCATGAAATACGCGGATCTGCACAAGCACGCCTACACCGTCGAGAAATGTATGCTTGGTGCATGGTTTGTGCATGCGCTGTGTTGGGAGTTTGTGTTTGTGCACTGGTTGATTTTGTGTGCGTGTGTGTGTGTGTTCTTGAAATCCCCACTGTTCTTCGTCACCGCTCATGGCGCTCTGGACGTGCGTGTGTGTTGTCGACAGCGGAGCACGTGGATGAGTTGGAAACGCGCGCACGGCGAATGTCATTGGCTGATCGACAGGTGCGGCAAGATGAACCTGCTCTTGCTTTGCTTGCATGCAAGTATATTCTTGCGAGCAACACATCACGCTCATGACACGCCCACACGCCAACAGCGTGTTGGACAACTTGGGTGCACATTGGCCTGTTCGTGTCGTGCATTCACAACCAATGTGCTGCTTGCTGTCCTCAGGCAAAGTTGCAGGAGGAGAAAGCAGCGGCAAAGTACGTGCACTGTCCATGGGAGGGGGCGTGTCCTGTTGTGATCCCCACGCACGTTTGGCACACGTGTGTGTGTGTGTGTGTGTGTGTGTGTGTGTGTGTGTGTGTGTGTGTGTGTGTGTGTGTGTGTGTGTGTGTGTGTGCGTGCGTGTGTGTGTGTGTGTGTTTGCGTGCGTGCTACGCCTCTTGCTCGTTATCAACCTCGCCCTTTCCCCTTGTATACATGTGTGTGTATTATGTGTGTGTGTGTGTGTGTGTTGTCAGGTCGCGTCAGCAGCTGGCGCGTCGCGGACGCATGCGCCGCAGCATCATGACGAAATCGCAGGTGCGTGTGCTTGTGTCTTCACCTGTTTGTGAGTGCTTGTGTGCGTTTGCAAACGCAAGCCAGGGAGCGACATCTCTGTTGACAGTATGGCCTCAGGCTTCTTCTTGGAACCTCTCCACCACTGCTTCCTCACATCTTGCCATCATTTTTCACCCCTCCACCATCCAATCACACCTCGTGACCTCACACTCACATCTTGCACGTCTCCCTTCCACGCACTCTTTGTGCAGATGCACGGCGAGCTGCGTACCAACGTCCGCCACACCCCGCGCACGAGCACAAGCGGCAGTGGTGGTGGCAGTGGTGGTGGCAGTGATGGTGGTGCCAACAACGACGAAGACATTGAGACGCTCTGGCGCATCTTTGATCTTGACGGGGACGGGTCCATCTCCA